TTGGATAGACCACTGCCCGATACCACCCCCAGAAACGGAACGAAGATTTATTCACATAGCCACAAATTGACCACTGGGTGGATCAATTTTGTCTGTTAGCTGGATTTGTATCCGCATTTTCAAAGCGTAATGCATAGAAATCCCCTCGCTCAGAAATGAATACAGAGAATGGGGTGGTACTAGAGCATTGCCATCCGCCAGCACCAAGACCCGAACGGTGAAGCAAAGGGGGAGAGGCCGCGTCCTTTCAACTCCCAGTGCACGAGCATTCCTAACTACTTAGATCGTTTGTATGAAGAACCTAATTAGTCAGGTATCTTGCAAATGGTATTTGCAAGATTTAGCACTCTTGCAAGTGAAGGTGAACATTCAAAGCATTGTAAAGCTTTAGACTGATCCACAGCTTCTCCAAAGTGATCCTTGTTTACAGTGCAAACGCTGTAAACTTTACAGCACATCTTGAACAAGGCACCTTTTATGCAGCGCCCCACGCTGTCCCACAAAAACACGCGTTAGCCCAAACAACCAGGATGCAATAGAAGAGGAATCCCGTGAATGTAACAATTCCACAACTCCATCAAAGAAGATTATGAGTACTTTGTCAATTTTCGCAGTAGCGAGCTGCCCGGACCATCCCCGGGATATAATAAGAACACTGGTCATACTCGATTGAGTGATGAGTTGGCATACAATTGAACGGTTCACGTCCAAATTTTGGAAGCCTAAAGCTCAAATTTTGTGGACGATGAAGATCATATATAGTATCTTCATCCTCCGCAAATTTGAGTATCCGTATATGGATGCAAATAGGCGAGCGGGTAGTGGGGCGAGGTGAAGAAATTTGTCTTCTTTCATGTCACTGTCGGCAAGGACAGTTGTGTTCAAACTTGGAGCAGGACGAACAAATGTGTGAGTATGAGCTCAGCGCGGACCTGCCCTGTGGGGCTGCGTGCGGGTGCCTTGGGTCAGTGATGAGCATGGAGTATGCGCCTACTGTGAGCAATGCAAGTAGCTGCTTGAGTCATCGACCAGCTGGCTGAATTTTAAAAATTCATGAGCAACGATTTTCAAGCAAGCCTTGAATTATTTCAGGAACTAACTTCAACAATTTGTTTCCAGAAATGCCTCCAATATTCCTTGTTCCCGACTTTCCGCCCACAAGAACTATATGTTCATGCTGCGCGAGCAGCTGAGCGTGCCCCTAAATCAGAGCTAACAAAATTTTCGTGGTTCGCGATGCGGTCGTGATTCCTGACTACAAAAAGCACTCGGAAGCCCTGTTTGCCTTGTCAGCGTCCCAATTCGCTTTTATGGTGCCTTCCAAATCCACTCCGGCTTTGTTCCGCAAGTGGGGCAGTCCCTCCCTCCCCCGTGTCCATCTCGGCAATCAGGCTTTTCAATCCTTCATTTTCCGAAGTGGTGTGGCGCACCAAGTACAGCCGGGACCGCACTTTGATCTGGGTGAACACGCAGCAAAAATATGGCGGCGGCATAAGAAGATAGGAGATTGTTGTCCTTCTGTAGCATTCCTTGCAACTCTAACGTGAACAGTGAATTGGGACACCTACTATTAAACGTTGTCCATTAATCTCCACCATGGATTCTTAGGGAACGGATATGGCAGCACTTTGACACCACACAATGCTGAAGAAAATCGGACACACTCGTGCTCGTGTGCCCTCCCAAGGGAAAACAATGGCACTGACTTGGTGCGCTATGGCTGGTGATGCGCAGCTCAGAATTTGAATCACTGAATCACGGAAAGCAAAGAATCTGGATATCTGTTGCCACTGTTTTGGCTGCAGGTGGGAGCCTGTTCCTGCAAATCGAAGAGACCATGGAAGCGGACGTGACCTTTGCATTTGTTCTCTCAGGGCACAGTGTATCGCACTGAAACACTAGGAAAAAAGGGCCAAACAACCCATGTTCAGACGTGTACAAACTTTAAGGGCTTGGGTTGTTTCCGTATGTTTGGCATGCAGAACACTGATTAATTCATAGAAATGTGTTCAATATCTGTGAACCGCTCTTTGCACCCGAAATATCGACAACCACAACGCCTCGAAAGCCCTCCAGCACTTCGGAGCATACTGATCGAATTACTGTGAGGCTCTGCCACTAGTGGAAAACGGCACAGTTTTCGTGTTCACAAGAGATCAACAAGAAATCATGATTTCCAAACAAAAGCCTGCACTGCAATGCCGCATGTAATGCGGCATTGGCTGCGGATGTGTCAGGAAATGCAGCACTATATAGTGCTGCATTACATAGAATGCGATCAATTCACCAAAGGGGCCCTCACATTGCATGTATGCGGATATATCTTCAGATGTGCTCCGGTCCCTCTGACGATCTGCGGTGCATTGCACGCCATTCATTTCGCACGTTTGGTTCGGCATCTAAATCGCACTTCAGCAGTATCAAATTGGACAGTTCATGCACTGGCAGTTTGCCTCGAGTTCAAGTTGGACCGAACATCCCAGCCTTGACCTCGACCTGTTCCACCAGCGGAAACAGACATTGAGCGTCGATATGCGTCCAAAGCGTGTTCGCCCCTTCCAATCGACCATCCAGGCCCAGTTTTTCATTCCGTGCATCGATGTTCGCGCGATGACCGGTTGTTGACTTCTCGTTGCCGCTCACTGCTGATCGCAGCCAATTGGCCGACGTCCCGTTTTTGCACGTCCCGACTTTGGACTCTAGAGGGGTCGCAAAGTGGCTGCAAGGCCGGGAGATTCAGGAACGGGCAGCGACGGACTGCGTGAAGCGGGTTCTGTGACAAGTCATGGGAAGCTGCTGTGTGTGCGGGGGGCGGGGGAGGAGCCTGCCCTGGCGCGCCTGACAGAGAAGCGGCCTCTGAAGCGGGATGGCAATGGAAAAAAGCGGGGGCTGCGCGAAGGCCCCGGCAAGCTTGTCCCGGCCTGCAACTCCCACCCGGCGAGCTTGCCACGACTTGGTCAATTGAATTTTGACATTGTCGAAATCTGCAGCCGCCCGAGCTTCGCAGTGGAAAACTGTCGAAGCGTTTGTCGCGGTGGCGGCGCCCTGCAGTGGCACTGACTCCGCGCGAGTGAAACAGACAGCGTCCGGCACTGCGGCGAACGAGCGCGGGCCGCTAAGTCAGCCGTTACGGAGAATTTCACAATCAGAAACGCTCTTCCAAAAGGCTCCCCGGCAGGGGGATCGCCAAAGACCGCCCTCAGCAGGGTGGTCTGCCCCAGGCAGACCGCGGACAGATCGACGCGCGCCCTTCCACCCGACCAAGCGCAATCACCCGTTCGCATCTGTCGCCCGCGGACCGGCCCGCCGCCTCGTTAGAAGTTGATAGCCCCAACCCCCGCTGCAACGCCTCCGTAACGTCCGCCGTAACGCCGCGATCGCCCTCGCGGGATCTCCCACACCCCCGCGCGCCTCCTTGCCGCCGCCCAAGCAAGGTCGGCGAGCCCGACACCCCCCCGGCGGCACTTTTAATAGCAATTCTTACTCGACGGCTTGGGGAAGGGCACCACCGTATCCGCGACCACACATGCGGGGCCACCCCTAGGTGCGTCGCTGCAAATGACCGCCCATCCGCCGCAAATTCCGCACATTTCCTATGGGCAGGGACCCTGCGTCGCAGCTGCTTCCCACCCCCGCGCGGCACCACTATATTCCTTCCTGTGGGCATCGGCGCGCGTCGGAGGGCGGTCTTCGGCCGACACACACGCACGGGGACTCGCACAGGCAACCGCCCACCTGACGCGGGAAGGCGGCGCAAAAGCGGCCGGAAAGGGAGGCGCCCACCGGAGGCTGCGCGGCGTCTGCGCGTGCCTTGGCGTGCCCGATCTCCGCCCGCTTCGCCAAGTGTGACGTGCGGGGCGCCAGGCAGAGCGACCTCGTCTCGCCGGAGGGTGAGCTGCGGCGGAGAGGCCGGGCCGGCGGCGGATCCTGGGTCCCCGTCCATGCTTGGGATCCGTTTGATTCGTCCGCCTCGCCGCCATGGCCTTGCGCGGGCGGGCACGTGTCCTCCTTGTTGTAGAGCTTCGGCGGGCTAACTTTGTCGGACATGGCAACCCTGGTTGGGCGCCTGTTGGCGTGGCTTGGGCGATCGTGGCCCCTTGGCGGCGTGGGTGCAGATGCCCGAGGCACCCGGGGGGCCCCTTCATCCCGGGTTTGGGTGGAGGGTGCATGGGCGCGGCTCCCAGCTGCGCTGTGACTCGGTCCCCCGGTGCTCCCTGACCCGCGCAGCCTGAGAGCCGGCCCGGGAAACGTAATGCTTTGGCGGTTCGCGTCAGGGACGGCGTGGGAATGATTCGCACTGCGGTAGATCTCGTGTTGCCGCGAAAGGTGGGCCGCCGCGGCGCGTCAGGAGGCGCACGAAGCGGGCCGATCGCGAGTCAGCTGCGCCGCTGGTCCTTCCAGTGCGAGTCGCCGTCCTGTGACTGGACTGGGCGGGCGGGGGGGGCGGACGGGAGTCCTGTCACAGGACATGGAATCAGTGCCCGGATGCTGGGAAGTCGTCTGGCGTCTTCCGCCCGTCACACCTTGCATGCCGAAGGTCCCGAGCAGCCGCATGAACCGCAGGCCGCTAAGGAAACCGCGGGGCATGCGGCCCCCCGCAGGACTGTTGGTGTTGGCCGCCTGGTGTTCTCACTGTGCGGAGCGCAGCCCCGGTGCATCTGCGCGTGAAGGGTGCTCCAAGCGCCCAACAGGGGACGATCGAAGAAGGCGGCAAACCGCACCTTAGCACCGTCTGTCGACGACCGCTCCATCCCCGAAACAAGGGAACCAGCGCTGTGCGGATTGCGCTGATCTCTAGGTTAGTGTCCGTGTGGAGCGTGCGTGCGTGTGCGCCTTGTCTGAGGCCAGGCACTCTGGGCGTTGCTTTTGGTGCAGAGCAGCTAATGGACCACAGATTTCCCTACAGCAATTAGAGCTTGTCGGTCGAACCCACTCGCGTTGGAGGGGCCGGTTATTTTTGGACGGTCAAGGAATCTGCAAGGGAGCAACGGGGACCAAGAATGGTCAGCATGCCAGAAATGCGGTCGCAGGACCAATCAAGTGCACCGCCACCACCCAATTTGCGGGAAAGCGGGTTCATACCCCCCGAGGAGTTGATTGTGCTGGAAGACTCGCCGCTGGGCTTTGGGTCGTTTGGACAGGTAGGTCGCAGTCGGCTGCAGCATCGCCCTTGTGTATGCAAACGACCACAGGACAGTTCGTGTAGTAAATGGGTAATAAGTAATATCGGTAATATGTAAATTGGTAATAAACCTTGCCAACAAAAACTATGAATTTCTTGGCCAAAAGCTTCCCAACATCGCTTTGTTCGCTTCTGTTGCTGTTTTTCATCCCTTTGGTGGTGGTGGTGCAACCACTGGGAATGGCTGTGTTGTGTGCATCGCTGTCCAAATGGACGTGACATGGCGTGGTAAGCACTTTCAGGATGCGTCCCTTCAGCAAATTGCAGCTCTGCTCTGTGCCGCTGTTGGCAGCGCCATGTTCGACGCCTGCAGCAGGTTTGGGGTCTGTAGAGTCTGGAGGTCTCGAACGCAGACAGGGAATTGCTTGCACCTTCTCCCTGTGCAGGAATCCTGCTAGTCATGGAGATTTCTGTGTCTCCTTCTGCAATATGAAAGATGCCACACAAAAGGTCCTGCTTGCTAATTGATTGAGCAAGTAAGTTCTCATCAACTGAAGCTTCTTGCGAATGAAGGAGATGCCCATTGCACAGCACGTTCTATTATGATGCAAGTCAGTCAATACGTTCTCAGCCGAAGTGGGCACAAGGCTCACTACTTGCTTCTCAGTGCTCAGCAATTGCACTTGATAGCTTGCTTGGTAGTTTACAGTACTGCTTATGGCTTACTTGTTTGTTCTCTTGCAAGTTTCCTGCAGTGGTACCAGTTTCATTTGTTCTGACCAGCGTGGCCATTTTTGCTCCCAGACCTGATCGAACTTGGGGCTTACTTGTTACAATCCACACCCTGCTTGGATATACCATGGAAAACAGGGAGTACGGTGTTCTTGCAAGGTCGCTGCGATTGCATTTGTTGGCATCTGACAGCGCCTCCATGCACCTTCTGGGGCGTTGCCAGAGGTGGACTGTCCCCTTGCCACCAGTTTCATGGACCTGTCATCGCTGCAGGTGTACCACGGCTTTGTGTACCACCAAGAGGTGGCCATCAAGGTGTTGAACCACGGTGTGGCCAAGGACTTGGTTTGGACCATGAATGGTGAGGTGCCAGCTGACCCGAGCGAGCTGGACAAAATGCTGAAGAGAAACCCGACGCTGCTGACGCTGGATCGGGAGGTCTTCTTCTTGCAGCAGGTGTTGTGCTCCACAGCCAGTCCTTCATACATCCTTCTTACAGCACTTTCTGTTACGATGTATGTGAGGAAATGGAGAACAAATTGTGTGGTGAAGCGACCCACGTGACGAGAATGCATTGATCATGTGCCGCTCTGCGCAGCATCAGTTGTGCCTGCAGTTCATAAGGCCTCACAATGCTTGGCAAACGAACGCCTCAGCCCAATTTCAAGAGGACAAAAATGAGCTATGTGCAGGAAAATGGCATCTACATGCTCAAGGGATGCTCCATACGAATGCTGCATGTCTCACCACTGTGTTATCATGGAAGCAGCACAAGGTCTCAGCACGTTGACCTGAGCACCAACCTTGGTGGCTTGAGTATTGATTTGTCACCAACTGTTAATCAATTTTGCTGGGCAGCCTTACATTCCATGCTGATTAGAGGAATTGTGTGCTGGGACGAGATTCGTCTTGACTTGCTTGGGCTTTTCAATTGAGGGAGAATGGGTTTCTCCAAGGGCCTTCCCAGCTGATTAGAGGAATTGTGTGCTGGGACGAGATTCGTCTTGACTTGCTTGGGCTTTTCAATTGAGGGAGAATGGGTTTCTCCAAGGGCCTTCCCAGCCAGAGGTTCCATGTTGTGTTGGACTGCCTGTAAGAGGTTTGACACACAAGGCCAGAAAGACACATATCATTGTAACCCTGAGCAGCTGCTGTGATGTTCTTTCAATACTGTGTGAATCAGTATTGGAGTCTGGGGCAGGTATTTGAGCATTGGGCACAGACACCTGACATGCTTGCTTTGGAAATACATCGGCATAGCTGTATCATTGTGCTTCAACTGCTGGTAGTCTTATCAACAACAGCAACATATGTGACAGGTGAACTGACCATTATTTTGCCAGTTCCCCTCCCACCATTTCAGTTGCTTCAATGGCATGCCTGTCAGAATGGACAGGTATAAATGAATTGGAGTGATACAATGTGTGTGTATGTGCATGTGTGTGTGTGTGTCAAGTTGCAAATTGAACCAAAACAAGTTGAATGTGCAGAGCCTTCCCTCCTGAACAAGTGTGGCCTGTTGTCAGCACCTCAGAATGATAGGAACCATTGCCAAGACTGTGAACATGTGGAGCTAGATTGCACAGCAGCAAAGAATTGCTCTGAGGTGTCCGCCATGTTCCTCTTGATCAATCTAGACTGGAGCTGTTGGAGGTCGTCCACTTATTAGAGGGAAAGAAATGGAAAGCACTTGGCAGGCAGTGGTCCAGCATTAGGCAAAAAACAGAGCAGGATATGGTGTTAACTCTAAGAGAAAGTTACACAGTGAGTTGATAATAAGCATAGGGCACAAGTCAAAATTGGAACTGCATGCTCCATCAGTACAGCACAGTGTGTTGGATTCCTTGTCACAAACCAGATGACCTGCAACTATAAGTCATGCCCTTCAAAACATGCAGGCCACCACGAGCAACAAAAATTTTCATACGGTGGGGGTGGCTTTTCGCCAATCAGACAAGATTGTGCCCAGAACCTAGCAAGCCAGATCAGCGGTACCAGACAGCTGAAGTCTCCGTGTCAAACTGACGAACAGTGTGCCCAACAAGAAAACAGGAGGGTTAAGGAACTAGTGGTAGTGTGTGAAGTGTGGCATCTTTCGTTTGAATGGGAATTAACATATCAAACACAGCAGTGCAACGATCGACACACTTTTTTCCACTGTGTTGAGATCATCAGATAGAATCACTACTTCTGTTGGTCAACAAGGACCTCGTAATGCCTGGCAGCATGCACTGTGGAGCTCGAGCCATGGTTTTTGCTGGCATTCTGCATCGATTACATCTGTCATTGTATCATGGAAATGTGCATCTGCACCTGTTTGGTGCTGTTGGACGGAGCAGTACACCTGATGATCTGGCAGTTGCACAGTGCTTGGCCCTTTGTATGTGCTCTTTTGTTGTTTAACGTGGATTCCGTTTCTGTTGCTGCAGCTGCGACATGAGAACGTCCTCAACTTCATGGGCTTCTGCGTTGACCCTCCCTGCCTGGTCACAGAGTACTGCGAAAAATCTTCACTGTACGACGTCATCGGGAAGATCCAGGAGCGCCCCAGCTATGAGGCGAAGTTCAACTGGAAGAGGCGAATTGATCTGGCTTACGGAGCTGCAAAGGGGATGATGTACTTGCACACACGAACACCTCCTGTGGTCCACACAGACTTGAAGTCGCCAAACCTTCTCGTCACCAAATGCTGGAAATGCAAAGTGGCTGACTTTGGAACATGCAAGTGAGTTCCTCATCGCTGCTCGATAGAAGTCACTAGGAGCCTGCATGCTTGCTGCTTTTGCCGAATCGTGGCGTTGGGATCGGTTCCTAAACCTAACTGATATCCTTGCACATTGAGGCAACTACTAACGCTGTCCTTTCAGAACCTGGCAGACACATGGGCCATGGCCGGTGGACCCTTTTTCTGAGTTGCTGCAAATGATTATGTCCTTTCTTTCTGCTTTCCTCTGTTGACTGGTGACCCAGGCCCCTGTTGCTCATGCCCCTGTTTCCACTCCCTGATATACCTGTCACCACATGCAACTGTGGCAACAGGAACTACAACATTCTTCTTGCATCAACACCACATGTGGGTAGTTTGCTGCACAGGGGCTTGTTCAGCAGTGGCTGCAGGCAGCAGTCCTGTATGTGCATATTCCATTCTCCACCAGTCAACATACTGATCTGGCTCCTCTGCTTAGATTTTGCAAGGTGTGAGCACCCTCTGGTAAGCGAAGGACGCCATCCTCTGGTCCTGCCAGAACTGTTTGTGCATTTCCTGCAAGCCAGCCAGGAATAGACAGCTAACTTGAGTCCAGAAGGTATTCAGAAAGCGAATTTGCTCAGGGCTCGAGCATGTGCTGCTGCCAGGTTTGTCGACCCAAAGCGGAACCAGTCGCACATCAGGGTCAACAATCCTTGCTGGCTGGCCCCGGAAGTGATGAATGGGGCGGAGGCCACAATGGAGTCCGATGTGTACCCTATGGGCATTATCCTCTGGGAGTTGCTCACACTACGTAGGCCCTTCGAGAGCGAGACTGGCACAGATGTGTACCCAGCACAGATTCAAGGGGGTGTGCTGTTGCGTGACGAGCGGCCTGCGATCCCGGAGGACCTTGGTGCCACTGGGTGCCCTGTTGTGGAGGAATATGTACAGCTCATGAAGGAATGCTGGGACAAGGACCCCAAGAAGCGCCCGACGTTTCCGGATATCGCATCGCGGCTGATCAAGATGCAGTATGCGATTAGGGGCAAGGCGCCTGTGAAGTTGCTTGGGAGACCCTTGGTTCATCACCAAAATGGAAAGGTGAGGCCATCTCTTGACGTCAGTTGCCAGAGTTGTGATGCAACGCTGGTCTTTCTCCTACAAGCTGTTGGTGGTCATGGTGTTATCCAGTGCTCTTGCATGCAGTGTCTGGTCCTTGCCCCTGCCCCAGAAAGGTAGGGTGAGAGTGCTGGTATGGTAGGCAGAGGATGCAGAAGTTGCTATTGCAATTGTGAGTGTGTATAATGCTGAGCATTGCTCATAATAGCCAGCACAGGGGCTGCAGTGCGTATGTGTAGAATTGCAAACTTTTGCATTGACCAAACTTGCAAAGTCTCGAGTCTTGTGGAAGTAGGGAATGCAGCCAACTAGGGATCGATTTGTGGTACTCGAAGCTTGTGCATTTGAGAAGGTGACTGAATTGTGCCAGCTTTTGAGAGTGTTGTGGGTGGCTGCGTTGACCACAGCCACCTAGTCCACCCAGCAATCCACCACCCAGCAACACCGCAGAATTGAGAATGCGACAAGGGGAAGCCTAGGCTTGTCACTTGCCTGCTGGCTCCCCCAAAACGCAATGTGATTAGAGCCTGTTCAAGCGTGCAGATGCGCGTGGCTTGTACCGCTTTCATTGACAAGTGCCAACACTGTTGCAACCCACCAGTGTTCAACTGCTCACATTGCACTTCATCTATGACATTTGTTTTTCGCTGATTGATTCAGATGCAGAGACCGCCCAGAGCATGCAGGGACCCAAGCGTCAGTTACCCCACTGCTGTGCGGGCGCCACTGGTTGGGAAACAGCCCACCGATGGAGTCTCCGCAAACCTTTGCGCCCCATCCGGCCGACCCCACCCGTCGCAAACCTATATGTACATGCCCCACCAGATGTCCGATGGGACAACAGAGGTGTCTCCTACCGAGAGCCCATCACAGCCGCCAAGGCTTCCACAGCGTTCCAAACGGGCGTTCGCCAGCTGGTTCAGCAAGTATGTGATACGCTGGATGGCCTGTCTGCGTGCGCCACGCGTTGTGAACCCTCCTGCTCCCAAATATTACGTGGGGCCGCCTGCTGCTGCCCAGGTGGTGCATGACACACTGGAAACGCCGGTGTCGCCCTTTGATATCCATCGGCAGAAGTTTTTCAATCGGGCTGTGTCGAACATTTCGGATGTGGCGGAAGCCTCGGCCGACCCTGAAGGTAATCCAGTGCAGAGCGGCACAGTTGGAAGTGGGGTTCCTGCCATTGATGAAGATGACGACGCCACAGACTCGAGCTGCGCAAGCGAGACTTCCTGTAGCCCGAATTGCGACGGGGTTTGGAATAGCACTGCAGATAATCCTCCTGTGAGTTGCCCAGGCCAGCGTGAGCCAGCCCCTCCACCAGGCTACCCAGGTGCCCCCACGCCCACCCCGCCACCGGGGTACCCAGGTGCTAGCAACCCTGTGGCAGGCCCGTCTGCTCCAGAGACACTATCAGCAAGCGTCTCCTTTCCAAACCATGGAACCTCCCAGGACCCAGCGAGGCTCCGGCAGCTTGTCACTGTCATGTCGAAGGCATACCGCTCCAAAACGATGGGGGCCCGGCAAGCGATCCGGGTTGTGTCCAAAGATCCACCGTCCTTGGACAAGTGGCAGAAGATGAGAAGCTACGTCCTGCGGGGCGATGTCCAGACCGAGCTGCAGGGGAGGGAGGAGTGGAAGGGTGTGGTTAAGTTTGCACAGGAGAATGAATCAGCGCCCGAGAAGACAGGCTGGGATCAGTGCATAAAACTGGTGTTCGGGAACTCGAAGATCAGGCATTGCGAGCAGTGGGATAGGGTGAAGGAATTCATGGTTGGTGATGGTCGGCTGGAGGCACCGCTGCCAGAGGCTGACAGCGAGCCCTTGTTTGAGGACTTATCCAGTGTGTCGTTTCCAGAGGCTTTGAATGAGGAGGCTTAGCAGTATGATAGATGTAGTATGAAGAGCTGTGGACCTGGGGGGAAGCAATGGCTGCATGCTCACTGGACCAGCCTGGGTGGTGAGCGTCTGGACAGGGCTGGGAGCAGTGCCTGAATTCATGATCGCTGGAATGCGATTAGCTTTCTGTTGCGTGAGCATAGAATCAGGGTACATTCTGACTCGACTGGGCGGGTATCGGTAGTGTTGGGGCCTAGAGTAGCCTCGAGTTTGGGTGCTACCTCACCATCATCAAGAACAGTCTTTATCCCAGCTAGCGAACCTCATAGCGGGACGTCAGTGTCCATAAATTTAGGGGACTCGCGGGTGCCAGCTTAGCCGCTGGTTGTTTGTGTTGTGGCACCACAATTTGTGGCCTTGTGGGACGATTCTGTGTGAACGACATCCCTGGTCAGTGCCCCATCAGCGAAGCACGGAGAACGGTGTAAAACACAGGGTTGGGTGCAAAGTGACTTGGTGTGAAACAGCTTGAATCTGGGGACTGGGTTGCTGCTGGCTGATCTGGCGCTGCTCTGAGCAGCTTCACCGTGGTTGCCGCGGAGCGAAACGTTTGCATTTAATGTCACTGCTTGAATATCTGTATGTTGCAGGCAGTTTTCGATGCCTCGGAACAATGTTGTGAGAATCACCGATTGTGCTTCGCTTGCATGTTTGGACTTGTCGACACCCTGTTGGCCCAATTGACTGAGTGATATGCTTGGGCCGGCACCCTCTTTACATTGTCTGCCTGTCTCGAAGTGACATGCAACCAAAGCCTGACGCACATTACCTAAACCGCAAAACGCACAGTCAACGAAGTGTCGCAGTTTCTTTTTTTTGTTTTGTTTTCCATCAAAACCGTTGCAGCCCTCCACCGAAGCTCTTTGGGCTTTGCAAAGAACGGCGGTCCACTCTGGCCGTCGTCCCCGGAGATAGCGCAGTAAAGTCACCCTCAAACGAGCAGCTGAGCCATGTCGACAGCCTCAGCACCACATCAGTTGAGGGTGCACTCAACGAACAAGCTTCGCCCCTCGCGCGAACCGGCGCTTCATGAAGAACTGCTTGGCATGCCGACACGACCAACAAGATTGAGGCGACGGCAAGGAGAAGCTTCAAACGGGTAGCAAAACCCCCAACTGCCAGCCAGCCATGCAAATACGCTTGTAGCGCCTCTCACAGCTGCCGCTCTGAGCGCCCCGACCGGTCGCAACCGCTCCTCAACGGTCGACGAAGTCAAAAACGGAGGTCAGGTCCACGGGTCAGGGCTGCCTTCTCCACAGCACGTCGGTGTATGACATGGGAAACTCTTCTGTCCGCCTCGACAAGGCTGTGCAGCGACGAAGGGTGGTCGCTTCTGCAGCACGACTGCGCTGGCACTGCTGGTCTTGGGCGGCAAGGAAAGCGGCCCAGAAAAGGCACAGGCTGGCCGCGACCTTCAAAAGATCGAGCGCTATTGCGCTCAGGCTGTGGCGAACGTTGCGCACACGGCCAGGGGAGTCAGGCAGCCAGGCTGAGTGCCTAGACTGCCGCGATAGGCACACATGAACGCTGCGCAACTGTTGTTACAGCTGCCAGGCCAAGTGCAACAATACAGAGTTCCCCTCGGCGCTGTCTGCACCCCTCCAGCAAAATACCACCCATTCCTAAGAGATGCTCTTTTGATACCCAGAATCTTTCTGACACGCCCGCCGCTTCACCACAACTCAACCCAGGACGCCCCACTGTCCACAATCAGCCACCACGTGTGCCCCAAGGGCCACATTGCCACCAAGCAACCACACTTCCTGAGGTCAGCAACCACGTTATGCCCCACGGGGCATATTCCCATCAAAAAACCACGTGGCGCCTCGACACGCCACTCCTGGCTCCGTTGCACCACGGTCCACAGCTGGCCGATAGGCGGGCTGCCCCTGAACAAACGTACGTGTCCAATGGCAACCTGGGTGTTCCTCAGTAGTCCCAATTGCACTCAGGGCATGTTTGACTCATGTGCCTCCGTGTGAGGCGCTGCCGCGTATTGGCGTTGTGCTCAACATCTTCATAGTATCTTAGTGAACTCTTTGGGCGTATGATGCAGTTGCCATCATCTGTCTTTATCATCAAAGTCATCTCCCTGCATTCTGAGTGCCTTGGGCTTGGATTGCGAGAAAATTATAGAGCACCCCTGATTGATGTTCCGGGGCTTCCGCCTCAATGATCGCCGACATATTGAATGATCATCAGTTATGGCGAAAGTGTTGAGGCTGTCGACATCCCCTCTGCACCATATCTGGACCTCACGGGTCGCCAGCTGAGTGATATCATTTATGCACTTTTTGATGAGCCCCATTAGTTGGCGACCCGAACAGCTTATTGTCATCTGCAGGCAGAAGTCTCTGCGTGGCCCCTTGTTGGGCATGGCGCGCCACTCGCCCACCATGCCCTTGACTTGGAACAGGGCTGAAGGCCACAGGCTTGGCCATACCCCTTCCCTAATGCAGCCCTCTGTGCGCGCAGAATGGGCGCATTCACGAAAAGGAGCGCCTGCGCGAAGTGCTGTCTGCGCTCGCGCATTACGTAATTTTGACAGCGCTGCAGCACCCCCCGTAAAGCGCCCCTTGAGCGCTGCGAACTGACCTGCGGCTGCTCGACAGCCGCCCAGCCTCCTTCAGGCAATGGTCACAGCAGGCGAACAGCTGGGAGGGCCGGCAGCCAGCGCCAACCATCCAGCCGCCCAGGCGCCCGTCACCGCGCCGCGAGCCCAGCGCCCCAGGTGGACACCAGCACCGTGTCATGGCTACTAACGCGTGGCGCGTACACCCTGGAAGTTCGTCGGCCACCAAAGGGGGGCGCATGCACGGGGCGTGAAAACACCTGGAAACTAATGCAAGAAGCCCGCGAGAATCTAACCTCAAACATCATCTTCCAATCGCCTCCCATTTCCCTGGCCTCAAAGGGCGCCGTCGGCCGCGCCTCCCAAGGGCGCCACAGCCCCCGTCCGCCCCAAGCCCCCCTTGCCCACCACACCCACAGACACCCTAAGCGAAGGGCGTCGCAGGCCAACACCCTTGTCCCCAAGGCGGAGAGGCCGCGCGAGCGTCCCACTGGAGTCGAGGGCCGGCAGCGGCATCGAGAAACCCCGTCCGCACCGGACATCTGCCGGGGGCGCTCGCGCGCATTCAATACACCGCGGGACCTTCGCGTTGGGAATATCATCAGTGAGTTCTGGCGCGCGATTCGCGGATCCCTTGCCGGATCCCCGGTCCCCCCGCCCACCGTGCCACGTCCGCTCGCTCAACCTGTGGCGCATGTGCGCCGCATTCGCGGCAGGCCCCCTCCTTTTGCGCGAATGCATTCGATGGGCGCACGTCGCGACGAGTGGGCGGTGCCACAGTGGATCCAATCCCTTCGTCCAATGCCTCCGCGTGCGGAGGCCCTATGTAGCCGGCCTCCCAGCCAAGCAGTCGCCTGGCGACCAAAATCCCTCGCACCCGACCCCGCCAACGCCAGTGTCCAGAACAGCGAGAGCGCAGCACGAGCGAACGGGGGGAATTGCCGTCGCCTGGCCTGTCGATTTTGCCCCCAGCCGGCGGCAGGGGGGCCGGCGCTTTGGGCCCGGGCCCGGCGGCCCGGGAGCTCGCGCAGGTGGGGTGGGGGCGTTGTTGCCGACCCTGGCGCGGGAACGGGCCGCCGGGGGTGGTGCGCGGCTTCGTTCTGACTTCCCTGACTGATGCAGTGCTTCTTTTCATGGGCTCTTGTGGTGATCAGCCGGCGGTGGTTGGTGGCATCCGATGTGTAGTCCTCCTGCTGAGTTGGATTTTTTTTGACGGAGGGCGGGCCATGCGGCGGCTTACTCATCCTGGATCCCAAACCAAGATGTTGAAAAGAGCCTGGGAAATGGCTTGCAGTAAAACATTAGTGAAGTTCGCTGAATTTTCTAAGAACTGACGGAACTAAATAGCTACAGTATAGCCCCTATTAGGTTAAAGCGCTTGACCCTTTTACGCTGGATGCCGCGACCTTCTCCGTTGGAGCCAGTGCTGCAAAATATTAAACGCTTCCGCATCAGAACATTTCAGCGCTGCGCTTTTTGTCCCGCACATTGTTTTTCAGAGCGTTATTTTAAAATTTTTACGTTGCTCCTCACAGAAAGGCCAAGATTTGCGTTACTATTTATATCATTTTGTCCGCAAAAACAGGCCAAGCGTTACGTTACTATGCGGAAGGGTTCAATATTTTACAGCAGTCCCCCAAGCTGCGCCATTTACATGCCGCTGCGCCCACAGGGGCGTAATCGGTCCCTCTGCTTTTTCTTTGTGATTATCGGTTCTTCTTTCGACACGCTAAACCCCAAACCAATGACCCGCTGAACCCACGCTGGCCTTGCCAGCAGCCGAAGTGGGATGAGAATACTTTACTCCCCGTTCTTGTTTGTTGAATTTCGGTTCTTGTTCCGCTGACAAGGCCAGTCCCGGTGCGTGGATCAGTAGTTGGGGTTAAGGGTGTCCGAAAACAAGAACCGAAATTCAGCAAACAAGAACGGGGAGTAATTTTATGCCAAGTGGGATTCTCACGGAAAAGATGTGGGTTATAAAAAACTGTCCTCCTCGGCCCACCACCACGCCCGACCAGCTTGGAAGTGCCAGCGCGGAAGTTGCAATGGTAAATGCCGACAACTCCGAAGTCAGCGCCCTCGGGGAGAACCGCGCCACCACAGTCCCTGTAAGCCGCGGGCCCCGTCCCTTCCCCCCCACCACCACCCCGCCCCACCCGCTGCTCGACCGCGTCGCCGAGGAGCGGCGTTCCGGGGAGGCGGGGGATCGCCAAATGGCGCCGAAGGAGCTCCCAGGCGAAGGGGCAGCAGACAGGGGTGAGGGGCGGGCCCGCCGTTCGTGCGCCGAAAGCGGCATCGCGCTGACGCAGCCTGCGGCAGCAAGCGGCGCCGGCAGCGCCGCGGTCAACATGTACGCCGGGCGGAGAAGTCAGGCTGCGGTGAACGGCGCTCAATGACGGGGAAGGGCGGCGCAAAGAAGGGGGTCCTGTCGCGTGCCGGTACCGTGCAAGGGCATGCCGCCCGCTTTGCTGCGCCAATGGCCATGAGACGCCGCGACGGCGCAATTTTCCGAACCCCGCTGCCAATATGCATCGCGGATCGACGGGACGGGTGTCTGCCTCCGCCGCCACCGCGGCGAACCGGCTTCCCGCCGGCGGGCCCGTCATGTGCGAGTGTGACTGACTAACCGGCTCCCGGTTCAATGCCCCAGGCGCCATGGCCTCCCCGGAGGAGCCCCCGGCGGGCCTGGGCGGCCCCAACAGCCCGAGAGGCGCCAGCTTTCGCGGCGTGGACCCCCAGCGCCTGTCCGAGATGCTGTCCTCCTCCACGATCAGCCACTCCCTCACCAACGCGGACATCCTGCAGGCCTTCCCGGCCCTCTGGGACACGCCCTTCATCCCCAAGTCGCAGCTCATCTTCGTGCGCCAGATTGGGCAGGGCAGCTTCGGCCGCGTGTTCAAGGGCATTGTCTACGAGCAGGACGTGGCGATCAAGGAGCTCACCGTGCGCAACGTCGTGGACACCCTTGGGGAGTGCCCGCCGGATCCCGCCCCGGAATCTGAGGGATGTCCGTGTCGAGACTGTGATGCATCCACGATCGCTCGAAATTTGCTGGCTCTGGAGAAGGAGGTGTCGATCCTGCGGACCCTGCGGTTCATGAAGGTGGTGATGTTCCTGGGCGTGTGCCTGGACCCGCCGTGCATTGTGACCGAGTACTGCGCCAGGGGGTCGCTGCTGGACGTGCTGGCCAAGGCGAAGGAGCGGCCGGACGTGAACGGGAAGCGGCTGACATGGAGGCGGCGACTGGGCATGGCGCTGGACGCGGCCAAGGGGATGAACTACCTGCACTCGCATATCCCGCCCGTCGAGCACAGGGACCTGAAGAGCCCCAACCTGCTGGTGGACGAGCACTGGAACGTGAAGGTGGCCGACTTCAACACCTCGAGGTGAGTGCCTGGCTTCCCGAATGGGGACTTCTGTCAGAATTCGTCGAACTGTGGTCGAGTGAATGGTTTGCTGGAAGGGCTTGCAATAGGACGTATGGTGCGATGGGTGGGGTCCACTGCAAGGAGTTTGTGTACCTCTTGTCATGCTGCAGCCATTCGTAGCTGTAGTGTTCGTCAAGAGAGAAGACAATGCGCTGCCCTTGTGTCTACCAGGCGCATGCTGAAAGAGATGTGCAGATGGTTTGCAGCGTTGACGTCCATTTTGGCACCAGCAGTGCTGCCGTTCGGCATGGTAGAAGTGATCCGCGTTGGGAGCTCTTCAAACGCTTCAGCAAAGTTCGCAATTCTGAGTTGATCGAAACTCAGAACACAGGTGCTGCTTTGGGTAGGGTGGGGGCAGCTGATGCTGCATAGAAATTCTCCCTGATAGCATTTGTCAAAACCAGTCAAATCAATGCATTTTTGCCTGCTGAGCATCAGCGGGTGCCATGTAGATAGTGTGTGGAAATTTTGTAGCTGCACAGCCCAATGCATCATGCTGGACTGCTCATTCAAGGCTCATGGACACATAGCGAAACATACCTTGGGCTTACTGCCATTTATACCACTAGTTTCTAAACACATATCCTGGACTTGAACCCAGCATGCCAGTCAGGGGCTTGGGCTCAGATGGCAGCATCTCGTGGCCCAAGATTCTAGCCCTTCAAGGCCCCCAAATGTGCCTTGTTTGTTGCTCAGTGTGCCACTGAGGGAAGCAAGCTTGTCAGCCCTGTACAATGTACAATTCCCTTCTGTAAAATTGCTTAGAAGCACAGTGATAAGGCCAACAAGTGCCAATTGCTGTCTTCTTTCTATTCCAGAATACCAGATCACCTTGAAGAGTCTGGGTTCACCTGAGTTGCTGACGATGCTGTGGTGCAACCCAGGTTCATTGACCCCATCATTGTGACGGCATCTGTATGCGCCAACAACCCACGCTGGCTTGCTCCAGAGGTCCTCGAAAAAAACCTCCACACGACTGCCTCCGATGTGTACCCCTTTGGAATCATTATGTGGGAGCTGTTAACATGGGAGCAACCCTGGGAGCGTGACAACGTCAACACATTCCAGATCCTGCAGTTCGTGCTGAGGGACGACCTCCGGCCGCAGATACCCCCAAAGGATCAGCTGCCAGGGGATGCATGCCCAGACGAACTGTATGACGACTACGTGGCGCTGATGACCGAGTGCTGGGACCGAGACCCTGCCAAACGGCCCAAATTTCATGATGTTGTGCAGCGGCTGACTACCATGAAGGAGAAACTGGTGATGATAGTGAAATCGGAGAGCTGTGCACAGGTGACAGCCGTGTTGAACACCATGACATCTTGGTTGAGTGCATTGCATTGCATTGTACTGATACATTAACCGGGTTGTGAAATGTGGCCATTCTGTGCTACCTGTATCAGCCACAGGGCAGTTCTGGAATCCTGCAATAGTTGAATACAAGGTTCTGAACGAGGTCCAACAATGGCTTTGCAGTTCGTTCAGTTATCAAATGGTGTCAGCTCTCCTAGGCCCCGATTCTGCCACAAGGCCATGCCGTGCAGTGTGGCCAAGCTCACTGTCAGACTGTGATAGTAAAAGCGCACCTCTGGGGACGGGCCAAGGCCTGTTGCAATGAAATTTGTTTATGCTTTATGCATGTGTATTGGGCACATTTGTGTGGTATGGCTCACTGTGACTGTCGAAGCGAATTTCACTCCTCTGAAGGGGCGTGGGATTTCCACGTGGTGCAGGAAAACATCAGGGCGCTTGCACCAACACCCCCGCCAGTGCACATGCGCGAGCCACCACGTTCTCCAAGGCTAGAAGCCCACACCAAGACGCCTTTTGCTTCAGGACCATTTGCAGAAGGTCCACCCCGTCCACCCGGCCCGCCTCCGGTCGGGTTGCACAGCATCCCCAAGCACCTGGACACTGAAGACGCTGAAATAGCAGCCAGGCTGCAGCGCAGCGCTAGCCTTGGCCAGCGGTACTGGCGGTCCCTCAGGGAGCTGTTCGCCAGTGAAAGGAAGGTGGAGGGCCAGTCAGAGAAGTGGAAGGCCATCATGCAGCTGCTGGCAGACGCGCCAAGCGCACCGAGCGACCTTGAGCAGCAGGTGGGGCCCAGCATCAGCCTAGGGGACAGGGAATTGCCATACGTGCCAAAGCCTGACGAGGGGCCCACGAAGCTGAGGGCTGGCTCCAAGTGGAAGGTGCTGCAGAACGTGTTGGGGGACGGGGAGCGGAGGGGCATGCACAAGGGGTGGCAGGTCGTCAGGGAGGTGCTTCAGAGCGAGGGCAGCGGTGTCAGCGAGCAGGCCGTCCAGGAGGCAGTTGAGGAGTCACAGCAGCAGCGCGCACCGCCTGGCCAGATGAAGGAGGGGCACCCTGCCGCATCCCAGGCAAAAGCCCGCAAAAAGAAGTCAGGGAAGTGGGGAATCGTCAAGAACTTGATGCTGACTGAGGACACGTATCCAGCCCATCCGGGCTGGGATTTCCTGAGGTGGATTGTTGAGCTGAACCCCACTGGGATGGGAGCAGCGGGGAGTTGCCCTGCCCCCAGCAGTCAGTTGGAGGGAGGCGCAGATGTGGCTGCATCGGGAGACTTGGACCAGGGTGGTAAGCCTCTGGAGGGAGCCGTCAAGGGGGGCGAATGCAAGGTGAAGCGGTCTAAGCGATGGGGCGAGCTCAGGGACGTGTTGCTGGGCGAGATGGATGAAGTGCCCAAGGTGGAGCAGATGATGCATCCTGGGTGGCAAGTCGTCCAGGAGGTGTTTGGGGTGGAAGATGAAAGCAGGGAAGTGCCGACGCTGAGCGTTGGCGACGAGCCAGCTGCGGACTCCCCGCCTCCCGCCCCAACGACGCCTCCGATCGAGGAGGTGAGTGCAGCACCGTCACTGTCCACAGGAATGGGCCACCACCCAAAGCATCCCGGACCGCCCAGGGTGGGCGAGCTGCCGCAGCCTCCCGCTGGAGCCACAAACTGGGACTTCCTTAGGCAGCTGCTAAAGAGCGAAGAGAGCTCAATGCTTGTCAACCACTGGGACTTCCTGGAGGATCTGGTGAAGGAAAGGATGTCGTCTTCTGGGAGCCTGGATGAGGATACAGCGAGCTCGCAGAGGGGCGAGTCGACAGAGCTGACGGACAGGGTGCCCGCAGGCAGGAAGTTGGTGAAAAAGAGGGGAATGTCCAAGCATTGGAAGAAGGTGAAGGACCTGCTGATTGTCGACACAGATCCACCCTCCCCGGAAAAGTGGCGCTTCCTGAAGGAGTGGCTGACAGGCGACGACGATTTGGGCCCTGAGTGGCACGAGCTGCGTGACTTTGCCTCAAGGATGGACGGTGTTCCTGAGGGAGCCAGTTGGAACATCTTCCGCACCTTGTTTTTCGAGGACGTGAAGATCAGGTCTCACCCGCACTGGAGCTTCTTGAAGGACCTGATGGTGAAGGATGCGCACCCGAACAAGAAGCTGATGAAGGGTGCGTCGAGCGCGTTCAAGACAGATCAGGTGAAGCAGTTGTTCAAGGACCCTGGTAAGCCCATCAATGAGTCGCAGTGGGGGGCGTTGCGGACACTGATGATGAACAACCCGGAGGAGGGCATGGATGAATTACGGGAATATGCGATGGAGAATGAGAGGCCACCTGTGAGGTCCAACTGGGACGACATCCTGCAGGTGTTGGCTGCTGGGAAGTGACCAAGTGGTGGCAGTGCCGCCTGTTCTTTGCTTCTATTGCTGCTGCACCTAGGATGAATGAAAACGCCCCCATGAAAGCCGCCGATCAGAGCCATCAATGGCGGGTCTGGTTGCTGCGTTGGTCAATGGTTGGTAGCTGCCAGTATTGCATGCTTTAGAATCAAGCCAATTGAGTAGCGTTCATGGCCCGCTGGCTGCTGGCTTTTGCAGCGGGACTGGGGAAAGGTGCTGGACCGTGATCTCGCTTGCCACGTCCACATTGGCAGCATACGATGCCAACACCGCTGTGACGTGCCAGGGCTGGTGCCGCCTCAATTGAGGGTTTGTGTAGCTGGATGGGCACAGGCTGTGATACTGCAGCTTCTGACTGCCGCCAGAGAAAACGCTGAGGAAAAGATGTGCATATTTGCCACACTCAATTGTTTTCCGCCTCTGGAATTTTCGTATCGAGGGGCAACGCCTCCGTGAAGCGTTGGGTCAAGGGACACTTTAGAAAATTGCTCATAAATTGCTCATCTCCTGCGCTGGAGTGTTTCCATGTGCATGCCAGTGCATCCATAACAGGGGGTTGCCTAACCGAATGTGCCGTTGCTGGAATGGAACGACAACAATGTCACGCGCCGCCCAGCAGTTGACTCGGAGAGAATGGCGTCCCCGTAGTCGGGACATTCCTTCCACGGTCCCTTCTTTTTTCCTGTGTCGTCTGGTCTCTGTGTGTTTTTTCTTCAGCCCGTTATAAAAGTCCCAGGCAGGCCAAGGTGCTTTGGCATAGGCTTCCCCATCTCGGGAAATGGTGGACCGGCAAAAGGTGCACCGAGTCCCATTGGCTCGTGGCGTTGTGCACACGTCTTGTCTTCTGATGTGCCTGCCCATCCAAATGCACGCGCAGTTCACAGTGAACAAACTACAGGGAAAGGGATGGAGAAAGCGTGTGATCGCAGCAACCGATGAGTTCGGCGTTAGTCATGTTGTCCCTGCAGTCAAGGTTGGACCCATGTGATATGGGCAATAACTGCAATATGTTGTCTGACTGGGTTATGCAACGCCACAGGTCAGGGGCTTGACATGGACAGCCCGCATGCGCTGCTGGGAAGCAAAGAAAAAGCAACTGATAGAATGCCAATAGCGACCTGTCTGTCAGGTAGGCAGACCACATGTCGTGATCGGCATCCCACTCGTGCCAGTAAGGGAAGGCGCTTTGTCGAATTTGGTACGCTTAGCGTCAATTCGACGCTACGGGGGGTGGGGGGTGGGTCCGGACCTATGATGCCAAGTGATTATGTAATTGCCACAATATCGACATAGGGTGGGAAGATACACAAAACCCCACTGATCATCGGCAACAGCTCAGTACTTGTTCGAAAACTGCTTCACAGACTCAATCTTGAATGGAGGCCTGAGAATACTTCAATAGGCAGCCATCGAGGCTGCCACAATCACCCACAATGGCCATGATTACCTCGGTCTGCAGCCCATTACAATCGCTGCAATTCTAGGCATTTGTGTCCCTTAGAAACACCTTGAAATTGTCTAGCTTCCTTACGTAGCGTTGCAGAGTCATCCTGGCATCGACATACCGTATTTACCCGGTATTAGTAGGCGTGCATTGGACCCCCAAAATGAGGGGTGGATACTAATAGTTGGTCATGGATACGAACGCAGTTTAGACCCCTGATCCAACGAGTAGACAAAGAAGTTTTTTAAACATAGATCACGAACATAGATCGTGAAATGCCCCCAAAATGGGCTTCAAATAATGTAAGATGCAGTGCATAGGTAGCAACATCACCAATTCCATGTTGCAATTCAGACACCACACTATTGACAACACCATAGTATTGGCGACAATGCTATGACTGACAGATGTCAGCCTCTTCATGGGAGCCATCGCTCTGGACTTGGGGCTCCACCAGGTGGGGGCGAATGGCGATTGGGGCCAGCAGGGGTTCCTTGGACTGCTCGAGGCGTGTTTGCCTCCGCGATTCGAAGAACGAGGACCGACATGGCCCGCAAAATGCCACAAAGGCTCGTCCCCAATTCGCACAGCTGCCAGGCCGCAAACCCATGGGTCTGTTGTGTGATTGGCCAATCACAGATACCATCAGCTATCCAAGCCGCCATCAGCCCGACAAAGCGCCGGGGCCCAAATCCATCGTCGCGGCGCGGCGCCCCCGGCATGTCTAAACCAGCTTGCGAGGTGCTGTCTCACAACGGCGGCCGCCCAGACCAGCGCCGTCGCTTGCCCGCTCCTGGCGCTGGGCCTTGGGGCTCCCTTAGCTGGCGTCACCAGAGCCCGCTCTGGCCGGCCGGGGAGCAGGTTGACTCAATCTAGAAACCAGGGCGGTTTCGATTTCTCGATCGCTTGTTTGATCGGGCCTACTGGCGTCGGTCGTGGCCCAGCGATCCTGTGCTAGAAACCCCAACGGCAGCCAGTCAACCCGCCGCCATTTGTGGGCTTCCTGCCAAATTCTCCCTCGACGGCATCCACGCCAGCCTGATCGTCATCATCGACGCGCGAATTGCATGGAACGTGGTTTGAACCAGACTGGGCAATGTGGCGCAACACCAGCCGCGGACATCCCTTGCCACTGTCTGCGCGTTCCCTCGTTTCTGCCTTACTGTTCTCCTACACACACACACACACACAATTTTTCTTGCTATGGCGCACTCCCGCTCTTTTTCTGGTGCTGCCTCGCCCCGGGCCGTTACGGCGCGGTTACGCGGCGTCACGGGGGATGCCAACCCGCTTGGCGCCCCCGCGCGACCCCCCGCGGAAGGAACTCCCCCTGGGTTCCACGTTTCTGCCTTACCGGTCTCCTTCAACCCCCCCCGTGTTCCCCACACGACAATACATTACACTCACACAGTTTGGTGTCCATCACCTCACTAGTACAAGACCCGATTGGCGACCCACTTAAAATGTGCCCTCGCTTCGCATAGTACTTAATGCCACTCTGATAGTGACTCAACCCAGAGTCAGCTCCCCTTTCCTCGTACTCAACTCCCTCTCCATCCCACAGCTAACCGAACTCACACTATTCGGGTGGGCCGGGCGGGCGCGAAACAAGATAAAGAGGGGCGCCAAGGGTCGCGCCTAAAATAGCCGCTCCCACTTGCCGCCAAACTCCCCGCCAAACCCAAGGGCCAGCTTGACCGGTCCCCTTGGCTGCGCCCAAGGTACAAGGATCAACCCCACCGCCCTTGGGTGCGTCGGGCAGCACTGACCCCGAGTACAGGGGTGACAGAAACCGGCTGATGGATGGCCCAAACTGTCCCAAAGGGCGGAACGGCCCGCCCTGGCCGTTGCGCGCCCACCCAATCGGCGTCCTTAGCAGAAACCCATTAACAGGATAGTTAATTCCATTTCTGCCTTACCGGTCTCCTTCAACCCCCCCCCGTGTTCCCCACACGACAATACATTACACTCACACAGTTTGGTGTCCATCACCTCACTAGTACAAGACCCGATTGGCGACCCACTTAAAATGTGCCCACTCACACTGGGGCACGGTGCAGCTCCTCCGGAGCGAAGGCGTGGTCATGCCTTGGTCACCCTCGGGCCGATGACGCACCGCCCGGGCAGAAGATGTGCCCGTACTGGGCGTGTAAGTCGCGGGCCGTGAGCGTCATCCAACCAAAAAGACGGAAGTCCCACTCGGACGGCAGCCGATACACGTCGATGTACTTCCACATAACGTTACTGCGCCACTCGCCCCAGGCGCGGATGCGACCCTCCGGCACCTCCAAGGCGTAGCAGGCGCTGGCGCCCCCCCCGCGCAGTCCGTGGTGATCGAAGGGCTCGGGGGGCGGCGACGGAAGGGCCTGCTGCAGCAGAGGAAACCAGCCCGAAACCGTCCGCGCGGAGGGGTTCTGCTCCCCCGGGAGCGTGTAGAAGTGCTGGGAGGCGCCCCCCGCCTCTGCCCACGCCTTGTCCCGGGCTGCCGACCATCGGAGGAAAAGATCAAGCACCGCAGGGGCGCCCGCCGAGGGCCAGGACCGGCACCGCACGCTGGGGTCCGTCGACGCCGAGAGCTTGGTCCGGCGCTCACGAAACACCAGCAGGCCATTCTCCAGGCGGATATCGTCGAGGAGGATCAAATGGCCGCTCTGGGCCCGATTGAAAAACAGGAAGTCTAAGGTAGCCGAGCAGGCCGCGCGAAGGAGGCGCAGGTCGTCGGTCTCCCGCCCGAACTCCAGGATCGATCGCAGCAGAGCCGTGGGAACCGGCCGGTGCGAATGGGCCGGCTCCGGTTCCTGCCGCCTCCACGCCCGAGTAAGGCGCCGGGTGACGGGATCGAAGGCGGAAAAGTCCAGGTGGCCCATGGCCTGATGGACCATCGAAATGGCCGCCAAATACTGGGGGAGACTGCGGACCCCCACCCGGCCTTCCTCCCGCAGAAAACGGATGTACCGGTAAATGGAGGAAGGGTGCGCGGGCAGGCTGGCCAGGTTGTGCGCCGCGCAGAAGGCAGCAAAGCGGTCGAACTTCTGATGCATTGATCGCCGTGTAGACGCGGTATAAAAGGAGAGAAACTATCCCTGCATCCACGACCGATCGGACGCGGACAGGCCGTCCACATCACAGCCAAACAACGGGTGATCGGGCGGCATTACCTCGACCGGGAGGGGGTCCGCGACCGGCGAGTCCGAGCGGGAAGAGGGTGGTCCCGCGTCGGAATCCGAGCCCGGGTCCGCGGCCGGATGTGAAAGGCTCGGAGGTTCCACCGGGGGGGAGGCAGACGGGCCAGGATCGATGGATCGCCCGGCGTGAACATGCCCGATCGGCGGGGAATCCGCAGCTCCGCCGAAGCCAGACGTCGTAGGCGCGGGAACCACATGGCCGACGGCCAGTCCGGCGCCAAGACCACCGCTTCCACCGCCGGATGGTGCCGCAGGAAGGCCGTGAGCCGTGGTAGGAGAGACCACGGCGGATTGGCCCAGTTGGCCTCGCCCGTCCAGTCCTGGAGGAAGGCGTCCACCCCCGAAGAATGGGGCTCGTG